ACCTTTCAAGAAAAGCTTAGAAGTAAATGACAAAGAAAAGGCGTTTAAAATGCTGGTGCTGAGAGGGGGTTATAGTTATAACTTTATTTAATTTTTTATTGGGCAAAAAAAGAGGAGCTGAAAGCTGAGTTCTCTGAGGCCATCCGGGTGGTTCACGTGTCATTTGCAAAACAGGTTTAATCCCAAAGACAAAAACCCCTATCTCATTTTAAAGAGGCTATGGCAAATTTTCAGGTGGCTGCAGCACCCCCACCCCCCACCATTGCTCCCTTTCCAATCCAGGGGCATACGCTCCCTGCATGCTGTCAAAGCTGTAGCTCGCCAAGGGGGCGCAGGAAGGGGGAACGGCTCCTGCCACTGCATGCCACTTATCCGGAGGCAACACAACAGCTCTGCTCTGTGTCCATCCTGCCCTGGCTGGGCAAGCAGTGGGAGGACATGCGCCCTGGAACAGGGCAGGGCAGGCAGCAGATATGGTGAGGGCTGCAGCCACCTGAAAATGCGCCACAGCCCCTGCCATCCTCCTGGAGTGCAGCCCTGGCCCCGCCAGCCCCACTCTGTGCAGATCCAGGGGCACACACCTCCCCATGCCCTGCCGGAACAGTGGCAGGAGCAACGGCAGGAGCTACCAGATGACGAGCACACAGCGACGGGAGCCACCACACCCCTCCTGCCCCCTGCACCCACCCAGCCCTGGCTGGGCAGCACTTGCCCCAGCCTCTGCCTCACTGTGGGGGGTGTTGACCTGCACCCCCACAGCCCTTCCCTTCCACCATTTACCAGCTGCACACAGGATGTCGTAAAGACTAAACCCACGTTGGAACATTAAAATGGGGTGTCACTTTATAAATGTTGTAAGCGACATTCGTTGCAACTCAAAAAGTCGTAAGTCGAGGACTGCCTGTACTTCAAACTATTTTCTATTGCTGCATCCTCAGAAATAGTTTCCTCCCTCCCCACCCAACAGCTCTCCCTCAACAGAAAACTGAAAGTTAATTCTGTCATCCAATTTACACTTTAGTCTCCATCCATTCTTTCATCCCTGAGTAGATTGCTTGCTTTAAGTAGCACCTGAAAACTACCCCGTTTTTTAGTTTATGAATCATTTGCTATAAAATGTTGTTATTTAAAGATATTACACAAATATTTTGTGATTAGTTTGTTAGTATTGGAGTTACGATTTTTAGTCCAACTACAATGGAATTTTATTCCACTACCAAAATAATTAGGTTTTAAATTTATGTACCTTGATATTTGTCATTTGGAATCTAACATGAAGAGCAGACTGATGAGAACTATATAAACATATCAATTTAATAAGACAGGGTGGTCAACCTGTGAAATGCATGTCACAAGTGGCGCACACAGCCTCTAGCACATAGCAGATCAGGGAGGGGACAGACAGCATAGCAGCAGATGTGGCAGGAAGTAGACAGCTGAGCGGCAGCCCAGGCAGGGAACAGAATCAGGTTGCACTCAGGGAGGGTACAGACCTAATTTATGGCATGCCTGCCAAAAAAGTTGCCCTCCTCCCCCTTTCCCACTGTAATAAAGTATGCTTGATATAGGCTCTCAGTATGCTACTGCAGCACTGTAGTAAACTTAATGTCATTGTCCACCTACACGCAGTAGTAGGGACACATTCGGTCCCACTGCTTATTACACTTTCCTCAAACCAAAAAAGAACGAAAGTACTTCTTTACTGCTAGTTATACTGCGTGAACACAAGAAAAATTACCTCGAAGGAGTTCAATAGTCTCTTTAGAGATATAAAAATTGGAGAAAGCACCGTCTTTCTGTTCTGTAGTCAATTCCTGTTAAGTTAAAACAAAAATTGTATACCAGTATTAATCACCACCATTCTGCAGACAAGAAGAAGAGAAAAGTGTTAGCTGTTTACCCCACGCAGTTCAGACTGCCACTGGAAAACTGGTAACTCAGGGTCCTAAAAACCCATTCTGGTTTTCCATTTCCTGAATAGCACTCTTGTGACTTGCATATGATTTACAACCTGAAGTAAGCAGTCCCATCTTCAGTACCTAATGTATTTAAATGCCTATAAGACGTTACACATACACTAAACAAATGGTGGAAGTCTTAGCTAATTCAGAAGGTGCTGATTTAAAAAACAACAACAACAAAATCAATTCACACCAAACTAGTGGAAATTACATGAACTGAAACGCACAAAACCCAGGTCTGATTTCCAGTATCTGTTTCTAAGTTCTTGGATAAGTATAGTACAGGTACACTGCATCAGCATCCCTAGTAGGATGGGCAAAAAATCATAAGCAATAGAGAAAATAAACAGGGATGAATATTTTTTCCACCATTCCAAAGAAGCTTCCAGTAGTATTCTTCTAATACTATAGGCAGACTTAGTCTGTCCTGCTTTACTCACACTCCAACTGGCTGACAGAAACAGCCAATCAAAGTGCTCCAAGAGTAAGGTAGCACCACCATGATTCAAAGCTGCACCGAGGACTGTACAGATTCCAAAGCCGCGCCCAGGACCGGACATTGCTGCTGGCCTCAGCTCCCCCACCCCAGTTCCTGCAAGAGGCAGAACAGTGGCAGCATGGGGTGTTAGGTGGCGGCACTCCACCCAAGCCCCCTCCACCCATCATTCTTGACAGGCAATTGGCTAGTCTTCTATATAGATAGACAAACTATAGACATGATACAGCAAATTTTTAACATAATCTGGGTAAGTATTGTTCATTTTATGTAAGTTTTTGTCTTTCAGGATTCTACATGACGAACAACTAAAAACACAAACATTCAGAGCAGTTAAAACTAAAGGTGCACTGATACATCGGTCTGATATGGGATCAGCACTGATATAAAGAAAATTGGCTACATCAGAAATCGGCCTGATGTGGCCAATAATGTGGCCGATAAATGGCCTGTGCATGCATGCAGCCACAATGCAGCATGTAGGCGGCAAGGAGCACAGCCTGGCAGCTTGAAGGGCTGCATGCAGCTGGTAAGTCCGTTGTGGTGGATGGGAAGGGGGAAAGGGAAGGGGTGTGGGAGGGCAGATCAAGGACCACTGTGGTAAGGAGGGAGTGGGGCTGCCCAGCCAGGACAGGGCAGGGTGGGGCGCCGGATGGAGCCACAGCTCATCTGAGGGAAGTGGGGGGGTGGCTTGTGCCACTGCACACAC